TGCCGATGTCTGTTCTCTGATAGAACACAGAGTGATCACACTTGCTTTGACACATGCCAAACTTCTGCACAACAGTACTAAACCTGTCGAACCATGCCCGGGGACTCTGTTTCAGGCCATATAAGGATCTCTTGAGATGACATACTTTCCCACGCTCCCCCTGAGCAACAAAGCCTGGCGGTTGCTCCATGTAAACTTCCTCAAGAAGATCACCATGCAAGAAGGCATTTTTGATATCCAACTGATGGAGATCCCAGCCATAAGTTGCTGCCAGAGAAATAAAGAGACGAACAGAGGAAAGTTTTGCGACAGGGGAGAAAGTCTCAGAATAATCTATACCATAGGTTTGAGCGTAGCCTTTAGCAACCAAGCGCGCTTTAAGGCGATCAAGAGAACCATCAGCACGGGTTTTAGGGGTTAAGACCCATTTACACCCAATAGCCTTCTTCCCTGCTGGTAAGTCAACTAAAGTCCAAGTGCCAGCCTGGTCAAGGGCCGCCATCTCCTCCTCCATAGCTGCACGCCAACCCGGGTGGGCCAAAGCTTCATGAAGGGTCTTAGGCACGGAGACAGAATCTAAGGAAGAGACAAAGGCACGAGAAATAGGGGAGAGGTGGTTATATGAAACAAATGAAGAAATAGGATGGGTGCAAGTACGTATACCTTTGCGAAGAGCAATGGGCAAGTCAAGGGAAGGGTCTGGTTCAGGAACCGGAGGTGTCTCGGAGTGGGAGATAGGTGTCGGCTCAGGATGCAAGATACTCAACTCAGGATCTGATGACGAAGCAGATAGTGGAGGGGCAGAACCTGGTGCAGTAACAAGGGTTTCCTTTGAACGTCTTGTGTAAACATGAGACACGGGTGGTCGTGCAGGAGGCTGAGCAGGAGCCAGAACCGGAGGTGGTGGAGTTGACAGTGGGACAACAGGGTATACTAGAAGATCATCCTCTTCCGCAGAGGGAGGAGGTACAGGAGAAGTGGAAGGAGAAAAATAGGGAACGGATTCTTGAAAGGTGACATCTGCAGAAACAAGATAACGATTAAGAGTAGGAGAGAAACATCGGTAGCCCTTTTGAACCCGAGAGTAACCAAGGAAGACACACTTAAGAGACTTTGGATCTAATTTAGAGACAGAGGGTCGCACATCTCGGACAAAGCAAACGCACCCGAAAATCCTAGGATCAATGGGAAACAAAGGTTTGGAAGGAAAAAGGGTGGTGTAGGGAATGGCACCATCAAGGACGGAAGAGGGCATGCGATTAATGAGGAAGCAAGCGGTGGAGACAGCATCAGCCCAGAAAGGTTTCGGAACCTTCATGTGAAACAAAAGTGCTCGTGCCACCTCTAGGAGATGACGATTTTTACGTTCGGCAACACCATTTTGAGCTGGTGTATCAACACAAGAGGATTGATGGAGGATGCCGTTTTGAAGCATGTAGGACTGGAATGAAGCAGAGAAGTATTCTTTGGCGTTATCACTTCGTAAGGTACCAATGGAAGAATTAAATTGATTCTTAATCTCAGCAGAAAAGGCACAAAAATGAGAAAATAATTCGGAACGATTTTTCATTAAATATAACCAAGTTGTACGGGAATAATCATCAACAAACGTAACAAAGTATTTGAAACCAGCAGTGGACACAGTAGGACATGGACCCCAAACATCAGAATGAACTAACTCAAAAGGGGATGAAACCCGTTTATTGACTCGAGAGACTAAAGGAAGACGATGATGTTTAGCAAACTGACACGACTCACAATCTAAAGATGACAAATATTGAAAATGAGGATAAATCCTTTTTAAAGAAGACAAAGACAAGTGACCCAAACGGCAATGTGCTTCAAAGGGAGTGACACCACCGGTACAGGCTACTGCATGCGAACCCTGCTCGTCAAGGAAATAGTGTCCACCAGATTCATAGCCCCTACCAATAATCTTCTTCGTCAAAAGATCCTGTATCAAGCAATGATCAGGAAAGAGTGAGACCCAGCAGTTTAATTGGCGAGTAAGTTTACTAGGGGAAAGCAGGTTAAATGCAAGGTCAGGGACATCTAGCACAGATGACAAGGGAATAGAAGGGGTAGGTTTAATAGTGCCAGATCCAACTACTCGGGAATGGGAGCCATTAGCAATAGTGATAGTTGAAGGATTGGCGTAAGAATTATAAGTGGAAAAGAGATGGCGGTTACCTGTCATGTGGTCAGTAGCACCAGAATCTATGATCCATTTGGAGGAAGAAGAGACAAGAGCAGTAGCCTGATTACCTGTAGCAGTAGGAGCACTCACGGATGATGTGGAGGATTTTAATTGGGCATATTCATCAGCAGAAATCGTGACCGTGTCCTTGGCTAGCGTTGCCACATGTGCAGAATTATTACGTTGCTGCTTATTTTGCAGCTTACGACACGTACGCTTCGTATGGCCCGGTTCTTTGCAGTAGTAGCATATCACTCCACTCGACTCTGGAGTCGCTCCCCCTTGCCTTGAATTCCCACGGTTAGTCGTTCCACGACCATCATTTTGGCCTCGACTGATTAGTGCACTAACAGGAGCAGTGGTAGGCAGTGATGAAAGATTTTCAGTCCTCATCAGACGAGAGAACACCTCCTGAAGGGTAGGAATCTCAGACCCAGACAGAATTTGAGAGCGAACAGTTTCATATTCAGGCGGAAGACCAGTGAGAAAACTCATAATAGCCATGTTCTCTCGTTGGGCCTGTTGGACCTTCAGATCAGTACTAAGAGGCATAAGAACATTCAATTCTTCATACATCCGTTTAAAATCCATGAAGTAGGTCTTGAGAGGGCGATCCTGCTTCTCTGCGCGATAAAACGCTTTGCAAACCTCATAAACACGAGAAATATTACCCTTGCCTGAGTATAAAAATTCTAAATAATTCATCAGTTCCTTAACAAATTCACAGTGAGAAATAGAAGGAATAATCTCACTGTCAATGGAGTTGCGAATCTGTAAGAAGAGCCGAGCATCATCCCTTAACCACGATTGACGGGTGTCTGTGGTCGGAGGGTCTTCAGTTAAATGATTCTCCTTCTCAATGCTCCGTAAGTAGATACGAATAGTTTTACTCCAATCTAGATAATTCGTCCAGTTTAATTTGTGCTCAGTAATCTTAACGACTACGGGAACCACCTCAGAGGTAACTGTAGACTTAGTATCACCCATGAGAGATAAATAGAAAAGAGATAATAAGTCTAGCAATGACAGGAAAGAATAAGTAGCCACAAATGATCACTCCAGGGACCAAACAACACCTCCTACAATCTATAGAAGGCAGGAACAGCAATACCAGTCTGAAACGTTACTGTTCACAAGGCACAGTAACCAAACAGCTCTGAATCAACACACAGGGGACAGATCCAGACCTGAAAAGTACCAGGGATGCGCCGGAAAATGCAAGACGAAGTCGACGAACTGCTCGGACGGCGAAAAACGCGGCGGCGCGTGAACAGTACCGCCGCGGTGACGGCGCGTGACGGTCACGCGCTGCTCGGACGGCCGCGAAACTTCAGGGATCGGCCGGTCGGCGCCGTGCGATCCTCCCTGGCCGGCGCGTGCTCCGTTCAGAGGCCAAATACAGAAGCCCTAATGATGGGCACAAAGCTGGACGGTAGGAACAGTACGTGTACGGCGCAGCAACGTTTAAACATAGGGAAATTACTCCTAAACGGACTGCTCTGATACCATATTGATTTGGAAATAATATGAAATATGTTTCTTCTATTATTCACATTGAGAATGAGGAGATATATACACAAGGGAGGAGCCTAGGCATTAATGGCTCATTATTAGGAGATAATATCGTATCATATCTAATCTGATCCTATGCTATCATATCTGATATCCTATACTAATTACAATAATATTTCATATCTTTACAGCTACAGTAAAATATTTTTTTAACACCAAGAGAAAAAAAATATTTTATGATGTTGGACACATTCAAAAATATTTCTAAATATACCACAAAATACTTTAGAATGCTAAATGTACTTTATTCCTTTTTCAATATATTATATGGAAGGTAAGAAATGGGAAATGCTATTCATAAATAGAAAATAATGTGGCTTAGTGTAAGTTTTATTTATATACCAGAATAGCCTCACGTAGAATCAGACCATTTTTTATTAGAATACAAAAAAAAAATCAATTAAATGAATAAAAATGGACAATGGCCTTATTTTCATAGTTATAATATCCTTTTGTCTGCCAATAGAAGCAAATTTTAACCAGCTCTCACGCAGATTAAAAAAAAAAAAGTTTATCTTAATAAGTATTTTGCAAACTAAAAGTTTTGAAGTAAAATGCCCTTATAATTAATGCTTTACTTTCTTTACTATTTTAATGATACTCATTAGTAAAAAGTGGTTAACAATGAGCAATTTTGAAAAGACGTCTGAAATGCATCTCAAATTTTGTTGCTTCTGCTTATGAAAAAGAGAAATCATATTCAGCATTTGCTTATGTGGGGAAAAAAACAAACGGAGGGAGTATTGATTAAAACTATGACTAAAAATTGTTCACCGAAACAAAAAACCATGACTAAAATTATCCTTTATGGAATGCTTTAGGAAGGTGTATCAATTTGAATGTAACATTGGAGCAATGAAATTTAAAATTCAAAGGCATCCTAAATCCTAAATATTTTATAGATATGAAGGTGTATTGATCTGACCGTGAATTGCCCTTTATAGAAAAGGCTTGTGCAAAGTAGCTCTTGGTAGGAGTGAAAAACTGAACCTGGTTTCTAACCGTTGATGAGAAAACTTTTGCAACTTTTTTTCACTAAAAAGAAAATTTAGCTGTTCCCAACTTTGTTCACTTTACTTTGAAATTTGAGCTTCAGAAAGAGGGAGGCTTTTGCGGCAAACTTTCTGCTCGTGGGAGAAAGAAACAGCTTCACCTTTTTTACTTTACATATGAGCACCGATGTGGTAAATTAATTAAAATACAGTAATAAAAGTAATTAAGACAGAAAAACGGGAGAATATGAGCATTGATGTGGTAAATTGGCATTCTATCAATAATGTTCTTGATAATACAAAAACTATAATCTATACACTTTTATCGCTTCTGTCAAGTTGCAGCATTTAAGGTCCCCAAGACGACAATGCAACTTTTACGAAAACAACTGATTCCTAAATAAGGCCTGGAATCCAGCTTGATAGTAAATTTCAAGCTTTCTAAAGAGCATGCTACATATATATCGTACCTAGACAGGTTTCCACGGCTTAACCTATGACTCTGAGGTTCAGCAACAATTGAAACACTATTTACAGAAATTAATGATAAGCTCAGAAACTGTAGATGATGTTGTTTCAATTTTCTCTTGTCCGGTTCTCAAACCAAACCTTGCTCGTGGCATATCTCCAAATTGATGTCTTCATATAAACATCCAATTCCCCAAGCAATTGTTTCACATCTTGTTCAGGCGCAAAGAACTTATAAAATATGGAGTATTTCAGTATATTCTTCATTTTGAAGTGTTTCTATAGTTAACCATGTATATTGCAGCCAAAGTAACAACGGCCCCAACTAGTTGTAAAGGTGAGAAGGTCTCACCCAGATACAGAAACCTGAAATTTAAAAATAAATATGTAAATAACAACGGCATGAGGGAAAGGGATAGATAATAAAGAAATCACGACACTAAAGAAGGTTAAAAGATCAAAGAAAGAAGTAATGACTTGTGAATGATGCCATTGGTAGCAAACCCCCATCGCCTTTTAAGAATTTAGTCATCTTTTAAAATCTGGCCTGACAATAGGAAAGACTCTCACGGCTTTCAGTCTTTTCTTTTTTTTGGGTCTTACATTTCAACTCAATATCTGGGAAAATAAAACCTACAGAACCAAAGCCGTATAATATTGATATAAAAGGACCTTAAAAATCATATCTCCCTGAAAAACCATTTGTTAACATCGGTGTCAAAGTTACCACTATTGCTCCATAGAGTAACAACTTGACCTTCCAAAGTTTTACGCCGTATTTTCATTCAAGAACAATGGCAAAACAAAAACACCGATGTAATATCAGTAAATAATGTTCTAACTTGAGGGATCACAAGTAGTGGCTTGTGGTCTTTGGTTTATGTTTCATGTCTTTAGTTGTCGGCTTTTTAAGTTGAGCCCTTGGATGTCATTTTCCCTTACTTTAGTGCAAAAGCATTTTAATAAGATAGTTTTACAATTAAGCATTGGTTATTTTTACAATTCAACTAAGGATATGTTCTATCCCTCTATACTAAGCTTCTTGCTCTGGATGGCATGAGTCGTAGGCCTTCGGTACTATCATAAAAGTGAAAACGGTTTAAAGTTGGACAAGGAAAAGAGCCCGTTACCCAAAAATGGAAGCAAACATTGGGGTCAAAAACGTGAGGGAGCTGAGCTTGGTCAAGCTACCTGCAACACATCACAAAAGCATTATTAATATGGAGTTTTAAGATTTACTTGTAACCAGAGTTGAATCATGCATATGTTACTAATAATGTATCAATAACACAAGCGAATTACAAAATGGAATATGAAAAGAGTCACTCCAACTCTGAACGTCAAGAGAAAGCTGGAGTTGGTTGATGAAATTTGAAGATATATAATAGTATAAGAGAAATATACAGACCCTTAGTTGCACTATAGAAGAATACGCCATAGCTGACAGCACTTCCAAAAATTGAAGTATAGAGGAGCGCCAGTATATCAGTTGAACTGAACTCTTTAAAACTTCCACTAATGGCAGGATCATTGTTAAGAATGGAGATTGCCAGAAGAGGGAGACCACCAATTACCATGTGCTGCAACCACAATAGCATATGCATTAACCTTGCTTCCTTACATCATTGCAAAACCATGATAAATTTGCTTTTCTCCATAATCCTCCTGTAATCTAACCTTCTTAGCATAAAACAATACTCATCAACTCCAATAACTTCAGTGAAAGGAGTCCAGCATGTTTATCTGTATAGTTTTTAAAATTGCCATTCTGTCCTTTTTATTTACTGGTAATGAATATAGAGGCTACCAATATATTAAATAATTATACGGATAAGAGAGCTGAGATATAGGTTGAAACTTGTATGAATTGATTGGAAAGAAAACTAATTATCCGCCAAAATTGCATTTTAACTAACAACGATAATCAATAAGACTATGAAACACTACAGAAAGACCGTGAATCCTACCCATCCAGTTGCCATCACAGGATCAGAGTACTTAGAGACCCAGCGAACCATGACCGTGCCAACTGCCATGCTTTGAGCAGCAAGAAGCATCCACCACTCCCCACTCCCCCAGAGTGAGAAATTGCTCTCATCAAATGACAGAGCAGGCAACTACCAAAAAAAACAACTAAAAAACTGAATAAAATCTGGAGGGAATTCAACAGGCTTCAAGGAATAATGCATTATTAATTTTAAATAAAAAATTACAAAAATATCTTGGGTTAAGGTGCATCCAGCACCCTGAAGTATTTTCTTGAGCGCATCCACCCCGAAGTATTTTGTAGTGCATCCAGCACCCTGAAATATTTTCTTGAGAGCATCCACTCCGAAGTATTTTGTGATGCATCCAGCACCCTGAAGTATATTTTTTGCTATGGAAAAATATTTTATGGTGCTAGACGCACCTGAAAAAACATTTTAGGATGCTCGATGCACCAAAAAAATACTTCAAGGTGACAGATGCACTTAAAACAATACTTCAGGGTGTTAGATACACCACAAAATACTTCGAAATGCTAGATGCACCTAAGAAAATATTTTGGGGTAATGGATGCACTGTAACCCAAATCTTTATTGTGGTAAGTGATTCAAGATATGTCCTTTACTTCATGTATAAAAATTCGACTGCTGTTTCCAGTTTGTGCTGGGGTGGCAAGATAACTTTAGTTTTTTCTCCCCTGGCTAGACTGTGAATAGGATAGGGAGAGGAGCCACAGCAGTAGCTCAGCTAAACATCTTAGATAGGTGCATTTTACAGTGATTGATAAGGTTAATCATATCTGACGAAATGCTTCCATTGAGTTTGTCAATATGCAATACAAGGTGGGGAGCTGTGTCAAGTTTCCAAAACATTGTTCTTATAAAGGCTGAAAAAGTTTAAATTGACCAAGTTTCAATGGAGGCAGAAACTGAACCTTAAAGTGACAAGTACGGACACCAAGGGGATGAGTAGGATAATTATCCAGATATTACACAAACAGATAGCCAAAAGAAAAGAAAAAAAGTCCGATTAAATGCATTTCTATGATGCAGTGTAACGGGACAGAACCTTAACTTTATTGTCAAGACCAGCGATTTCTTGTACTGTTGAAAATTAAAAAGGAGGGAAGAAGAAGAAAAAAGGAATGAATAGAGGCAGAAACACATAAAGCACTGGCACATAATGATTTATAACGTAGCCCAATCTCTACAAGAATGACGCACTGATTGGATGGGAGATATAAAACCGTAAAAGATAATTGCAACATATAAAACTTGGTGTCAGAAAAGTTTTTTGTAGAATGGTGTGCATTTATGTTTATTGTTAGGGTTATAATAATGCCTTGAGGGGAGAGGATGGAAGGAGATATAAAGAGAAAGGAGGAAGACAATAGACAGAAATTGAAGGAGAAAAGAACTTAAGTGAGAGGGTAAACACATCTAACATATTGATAACTAATTGATCAGTAACATTCAACATATTTTCCTCCAAAATTTAATGCTAAAGTGGACAATCTACTGATTTGGATATTCTTTGCCGCTCAATAACATCCAAGTCTTCATATAGTCAGGTTTGGCCTTAGAGATTGAAAGTTGAAAGCAAATGAGATAGAAGGACAACACTGCAAGCATTTGAAAGATTCAAAGACTAAACTGAAAAAATGATCTATGGAGAAACAAAATGAAAGTCCACCTATAATTTAGGAATCAAAATGGATTTTCTGTTATTTTAAAACTATACAGCAGACATTTTGTTCCACAGCAGAACAATAATGATATTGCAACAAACTTGGCTTAGATTTACACACAAAAATTTCCGCCACCTGAGCATGACACGGTAAAAGGGAATGAGATAAAAAAAACATTATTTTGCATATGCAGAAGTCATGTCCGTAAATAAAAAAGGAAAAAAATTACTACGAGAAAATTACTGTTGAATAATGATAGCAAGTATTATAAATATTGCACATATATTGATTTACATACCATGGAAAAGGAATCCTTTTATTTAAAGACATGAAAGGTGGCCTCACATTGGTGTTTGGATGCAGAGTATGTCCCTACAATCTAGTGACATTTTCACATAACATAAAATATGCAAGTTGTTGAAAGCTGATTAGTTCATACAGCTACTGTGTAAGGTAAGTAGAATCTATCAATTGGCACTCCCAGCAGTCAAAGTGGGAAGCGCAGTTTCCTTCTCCTCTTTTTTTTTTGGTTTTTTGGGGTAAGCTGTAGGAAAGGTGTTATTAACGGGTCAACTGTCGAACCTCAATAATATATTGATTGAGGACTCAATATGATGAGCATGATACTCCACATCCTAAGCTAAAGTAAAATTGGACTAGAAATACCGACTGAAAAATTTACCTCAAGAAGCACAAGTCCTATTACACCCAAAAGAAGCCCCGCAGCTCCAACAATTCCGATGGACTCTCCAAATAATAAGGCTGCAAGAACGGCCACAGTCAAAGGTTGTGAATCAATTATGACCTGCAATATATTTAATGAGTCATAGAACCAGAAAGTTTAGTCAGACTGCAAGAGAGTTGTTATGATTGGAAAGCAAAGAGAAATGGACTAAAACATTTTAAGACAATCCTAAGTATACCAAGCCAATAAAAAATGAACCCAAAGACGTATCATAGATGTGGTTTACTTAACAACCGTCAGACCTCCCATTTGCTTGGTGTACATGTGAGTTAAATAATCTCTCGTGAATTAATAAAAAAAATCATAGAAAACAAAGTCTTGTTGTTACTTATTAAACATTTTATTATAACACCGAGGCGCTGATTCATGTAGCAACTTCACTGCCAACAATTATTAAAATCATTCATAATGGCCAATCTAATATACACCTGATCTTCTATTGTTGGAAATGGACATAACTTCAGTATGCCACGACTGAAAAAAAAACATCTCAGGCAAAATCATTTAAACAGTTAACTAGATTAAGAAATTATCCGCCAACGTACACTGCCCAAACCAGCTGATGTCCTTTGTAATCCTTCAGCAAGAAAGCCCTGCGGCAAACGATTGCTGCCTTTAATACTTATTATAAATTTACTGGACAGAGAAAAGCCAGCAGCAAGTGATATAACATCACTGAAAATATGAAGGAACACACAAGATGGCACGCACCTGAAAACAAGCAGCATCGACAACAGCAAAGAGAGAGATGGACAGCCAAGCGTTAAAACCAGATGGGAAAGGTCGACCTCGGGAAGCAGCGAATGCAACAAGGAGAAAACCAGCGGGAACAAGACGAAATGCAGACACAAAGAAAGGTCCAGATTTGGGAATCACCTCCTTCATGGCCACCATAGCCGTTCCCCAAAAGAAGAAAGGCGACACCAACACAGCCCATTCCAATAACCCCTCTATAGAAATTCCCAACGATTCCACTTCCACCGATTTCCCGTTTTCTTCATCCGGCTCAATGAGGCACTCAACGTCTTGCCCTGTTCCTACACAGTCGATGTCTGACGGCGAACGTAATGAATCCTTCAAGTCCATTTCTGTATCACTGCTCGTGCAACAAACAATTATTCTACTACACCCACTTGAATTCCTGTGCTTGAATGAGTTGTTTCTGTGAAATGGAAGCTTAATTCTAATAGGGGCAACTCGAGAAGACGAAGTAGGTGGGAAAGCATTCAGATGAAGCAAAGGGCGATTGTGCAATTGGAAAGAGTGACACTGAACAGAGCAGCGGCAGGTGATGGAGGTGACTGAACAAGACGACGAGCACCACGAAGCCATGGTTAACTCGATGCGCTGATATTTTTGGGTTTGCTTTCACTACGATATTTACACCTTACAGGAGCGAGGAAGGAGTGGCCCTGAGTGACTTCATCTTCATGTACTCTTCTGAAATTATGACGCTTAAAAATTGCAAGTTACAAAACTGAATAAGCGAATCTGAACTCCGAAGCTCAACTAATAGGCTCGAAAACAACCATTTGAATACAAATACAATGCAAGATCCCTGTTGCAAAAGGTGATAATCGATAAACAAAACGGTCCAAGCTTAATTTGGATGAATAACAGATTCTTTCTTGATAATATCTATTGTGTATATGAAAGTGACTCGTTCGATGCGTTTTGTCTAAGGCTAGAAATTTTCAAGAAATATTGTTGAAAATTAAATTTAAGCATTTTTAAAAGGGAAAATAGCAAATAAGGCCCTCTAATATGTGAAATTATGATTTGGGGCTATCAATTTAAAAATGACAAATAAATACCCGATTTTATATTGCAAATATGAACTCTTGGTGAAATATCTGAAATACCCCTCAGTCAAATGACAAGTTGACTATGGAAAATAACAACTTTACTTTAGTGAATGACAATTTTCGTAGACCAAATCACAACTTGGCTAAGAGTATGCCAAATAACAAGTTGACTATGAAAAATGACAAGTTCACTTTAGCGAATGACAATTTCAGTAGACCAAATTACAACTTGGCTAAGTGGCATTTCAGATATTTCGCCAAAATTTCATATTTGTAATATGGGATCGGGTCTTTATTTGTTATTTTTCAAATTGAGGGTCCCAAATCACAACTTCACATATTGAGGGTCTTCATTTGCCATTTTCCTTTCTTAAAATTGAAATGTAAAAATAAATATAAAATTTAGAAGCTTAAATTATAATCAGACCCCTTGTTCAATCGGCCAAAATAGGGGTAATGGTTCAACCGAGTCAACTCAGGATTAGGAGGGGCAATAGTAGAGCTAAAAGGACTTATTTGTAGGAGGGGGTGTTTGGATTTGAAACATGCTTTGAAGAATAGTTTCTAAGAAAAATAATTTTAAAAATAAATTTTAAAAAAAAGATTTGTGGAAAAAAAGTGATTTTGATAAAATGAGAGTGTTTAGATAGTTGTTGATAGAAATATTTTTTTAGATCTAAATTATCAAAAAGTACATGAGTTAATATGATAATTACATTAAAAATATATTTTAATTTATATCTTCATTTGAAGTAATAAATTTGCTCATAATTTTTTACCAATATAATTAATTAATTAATTGTTAGTATCTGTATATATATTTATAAAATTAAAAATTCTTTTGGAAACAATGATTTTTTTTGCTAACAGAAAAAAAATATTTTACCTTAAAAATTATAAACATGAAATGTCATAATTTTTTTTACAAAATTAAATAAACACACATTAGAACCAAAGACAGTGAACAGTGAAACCTTTTATCGGATGCAGTTAATGAGATAAGGTCAGATTTTGATTTCAATCTGAAGGGCATTTTTGTCCAAATACTATTGCCTCCCTTCTGACGCCTATGATAATTACTCCAACATCCAGTTTTTTAACCCCAAAAACAAATTTTTTTTGCTTTCTCCAAAATTATTATTTGGGAGGCTGAAACTATAGTTGTAACCCAATCCATAATTTTGCAAAAAATAAGAGTGTTTAGATACTTTTGGACTCGAACCATGACTTGGGATCTAAAAGTGCTTTTTGAATAATTGTCAAATACCCCGTATCTTTAATGTGTTATTTAGGCAACAATTATTTATTTTTTCAAAAAATATATGTTTTTTAAATTTTGTCTTTATACAATATTAAAAACATAATCAAATTTCTTTTTCTTTTAAATACTTGATTGAAAATATGAATTTTTTTTAATTTTTTAGGTAGAATATAACACATAATACTATAATTTTAATAGTTAATAAAATTAAAAAAAAAAAAAACTCAGCCCACGGTTTTGCAGTCAAACAAGCAACAAATTGCGAGTCTAACAATAGTAGTATAATATAGGTTAAAAAAACTCATTTATTAGTAGTTTAGCTTTTAATTAATCCTAACTCGTCATTTTTAATAGATTGGCAGGTGACCCTGGCTCTACTTGGATCAAATTAGTATTGATTAAATTAATATCATTTAATTAAAAACATTCATATATGGTCATGAAAACTACCCAAACATGTCAATGGATTTCATAAGTACTTTTTTATAGTACTCAAAAATTATACGAGTTTCCACCGCTAAATCAATGTTAGATCTCGTCCATTTTACATTTATTCACCCATTCATCGATTTTGCAATACATGTCGTGGAAGATCTAATTAAGGGAGGATGAGAGTTTTCTTGCAGTTATAAATTCCAGAATTAGACAAAACGTACTACAAAATTGTTTAGTTATGTAAAAGATGCTATTGTCACGTATTGTCATAGTTATTGAAAATGAATTATAGGTTTTATTATTGAATAAACTGATGTTCAACATAACGATATAATGATTTTTCCAGATTTCATTTCCAATAAAATAAGTTGACAAAGTTTATTCCGTTCCCATTGATTAAGCTATCTTGATAATGATATATAATTAAGAAACATGCTTCTAAATTGAGTTAAGATGTAAATTTGTTCAGGAAATTTTCACTTATGGAAGTTTTTTTTTTTTTAAAGGTTAAAGTGTAAATTTGCTTAGAAAGTTTTTGTTCAGGATTGCTAGGTGTCCGAAAATTTTCAAATTGTAGCAATGTTTGTTATCCATGTTAAATTTGATCATTAATTAACCAAATAAGTTACACTGGTAAACCCACATATAATTCACTTCATTTTTTTTTCCCAAGTTATCCATCTCATTCTTGATTCATAACCCTAACCCCATTTCTTCCACACAAAAACAACTCTTTCCACACTTCATTCACGGATCATAACCATAATAAGTAAATTATATATGTAGAGGGGAAGCTCGTGAGAGTTCTTAAAAAATGTAAACAATGGGGTCGATTATGGGAATAACATGGGCCTGGAAAGCAATGATTTTCCCAGCGTTATGCTAAGTGCCCACCTTGAAAAAAGTGAAATGGATGACAAGTGGTCTTATTAGCTCAGAATATTTGGCTAATGGTCAAATTAAACTTAATTTGCATAACAGTTAAGAGAATTTAAAATAATTTGTTTAAGAATTTGTATGGTATTTTCATGCACGATGTGTGATTAAAAAGATATTATATAAAATGAATTCTCTTTCGGTAAAAACTTTTAGGGCAAATTTTAAAATTTTTGGAATGAAATTGAAATATCAACATATAACATTGTTAAGATTTGGAATTTTCATGTGACATTGAATTAAAAAAATTCCAGATACCTAGTGCTCCTGAATAAAAACTTTCAGAGTAAATTTGCATCTTAATCCAAAAAAAAGTGGATCTCACATGGACCTTTCAACTCAACATATTTGGTCAACTAACAGTCAAACTTAAATAACGACTAGGGCAACATTACTATGATTTAAAACTTCTGAGGTAATATTGAGCCAAAAAAATTCCTCTTACCTAATACTCTTAAACAAAAACTTCCGTAACAAATTTGTAACTAAACTCTTTTAAATTTCTATATATAAGGATAAGCAAGTTGCAGTCCACTTTTTTATTCTTCCAAGAGTGACTTGATCAAAGTTTCATATGCACCAAATGAATAAGAAAATTTTCATTTAATTTCCAAGATTATCAGGTCCTATGTGGAATGAGTGATATACAAGCATACATGTGGGAACAAAAATCACGTTACCAATAGTAGTTACATACGGTGATTGAATTGTAATCGAATTATTTCTATTCAGAATATGAAAAATTGAAAACTTCTAATTATGTGTTTGTAATTAAAATTTTAAAAATTATTTGTAGTTACTAGTTAGGCAGTAAATATACATAAAATAAATTTGAAAGAAGTTAATTAAACATCATAATTAAACTTTGATCTATGGGGAAAAAAATTTAAGCTCATACTTTTCATGGATGCTAAATTTAATTAACTAATTCTAATAATGTTTATAAGTTGATAACTAGCCCATTTGATTTTTAGTTGATACTTAAATTTTAAAGCTTAGATAAAAATGTGTTCTTTTAAAAAATGGACAAATTAACACCGGTCGTTCTTATTACTAGAAAGCTTCCAAAAACCAACCCTGAAGAGGATATTATGTTCAAATCAATCAATCAATCAACTTGTTTTCCTTTCGGGTAGATTTAGTATATCAATTTTTCTTATTAAAATAAAGTAATGCCCTATTTTACCAAAAGACTAATAGATTTAATGCATCAAAGAATCTGTATTTTTAGATAGGTTCTAAATTCTAATTAAGGCCGTCCACTTTAAATTTAGCTTTGAATGAGACAAACTTAAAGCATAAAAAATCATTCTCCTACCAAAATCAAATAAAAAAGTTACCAATAATACTTAAAAGTGATGGCATACATCTATCTAAACAAACGAATCATTGGCCAGTCTATATGTGGAACAACTTGCGGTATTAATTGGTATAACAAAATATGTATTGAAATTGGAAATTGATTCTTCTAAAATACTATTTTTAAAATCGTTTGTATTGAAAATTATTACTATAATGTAAGGTCCCTTTTTTTTTTTTTTAAGCTCAGTATATGTATTATTTATGGTTATTAATAGGGGATCCAGTTGACTAATTCAGATATTAATAAAGTTAAATAAGTTCCTTTAAAATACTCATTAGGTCCTTAAGATAATTATTGAGTTTATTTTAGTTCTAAATATAAGACTTATTTCTCATATTTATTAATTTTTTCTAAATTACTCCTATGATATTCCCCCAATATAATCAGGCAGAAAAGGGAGAAAAGATATTAAGAAAGATTATTATGGTGTTTTAGAAAAAAAACATGTCATTTTTTTTATAATTAACTAACTTATATAACTTTCTTAATCTAATCAAATTAATTAAATAAATCTTATATTAAAAATCGCAAAAGTATCATATTTATAGTTTTTCTCTCAACTAAGTTGTTTGGCTTATAAATTGATATACAATCTAATGATACATATAAATATTTTAAAAAGATCAGGTAACATGATACCTCTGGTCTTTAATATAAAAACTAGTTAGTGGTTGAATTTGGTCCTAAATATAAAACTTCAATCTAATCTATCTTTAATTTTTCCTAAAATATCCCTATGTGTAAGGGGATTCTACTAAGGGATAATTCAAATCATCTAATGCATATGATTAAAGAAGATAATTTAGAGAGATCAAAAGAAATAACCAGTTTAGCTAATTTTATTAATATCTTTAAATGAGTTATATAATTCTTTTGTTAATGACCAGAGGTAGTACTTTATAATTAAGTTTTTTTTTTTTCAGTTTCCTTAATTTTTCAAATTAGTCAGCCTGAGTGAAGTAGCTAGTATAATTAGGGGTGGGAACAGGCTAGGCCATGCCAGGCCAGGCTTTCCTCTTAACAGGCTAAGCCTGTCTTGTAACAAACCAGCTTGAGCCTGGCCTGTGGCCTGTTAAAGGCTTTCTTTTCAGCCTAAGCTTGGCCTGTATAAAGGCCTGGCCTGGCCTGAAGCCTGTTAAAAAGCCTACATGTTTTTCAAAAACTATTAACAGGCTAAAAATAAGCTATATACACATAAATAAATTCAAAATTATCTAAAATACAACAGAAAATCTAATATAATCTAATTAATCAACAATATAATACCAAATGAAACAAGGGAACAAGGTTCATCACAATTACAATAATTTTGACCAAATAAAAGTATAGACGTCCGTCCAGTTTCTTCTTGTTTTTTTTTTCCTGATCAGCGTAGTTGCTTCTTGTTTGAACACCTTGAAAAGAAGAAATGAAGTGTATAATATATTGACAATGATTCATAAACTAGCAATGAATCATAAAGCACATATTAGCAATTTAGCATATATCAGTTGAATGACTAAAAACATGCTTCCACCCTCTAGGAAAATGAGTAAGAAACCTGATAAATCAAAAGTTAACAAAAATATCCACAACACTAAAATTCCTAATTTTCTGTAGAAAAATTCTGATAAAATCTTGATCCAGTGGCACAATACTGGCTACTGTAGAATCTATAAACAAGGCACGCCTAAAAAAACAAGAAGAAAAACAATGAAAAATTATAAAACATAAGCACAACACTGTATGATTAAAATTTTGATAAAATCTGTTACTCTCCATATATATTATACATATATTCATGGCGGTGACTTCAGATTTCTCCCAAGACTATATATATATATATATATATATATATGGGGGAATATACACATGGGACCTTGCGTGTGTGTATTCATGTTAGATTTCTTCCATGAATATATATATATAATCACATTCAGATTTCAAATTTCTGCCATGAATAATGAAATCATGTCACCAGTCGATTGCTTTTATTTATTGGAATACGATGGACGAGAGAAAGTAGTGTTCTAGTTATCAAAGTTTAGTTTGTAACAAAAAGCTTACCCATTGACGACGTACGAGCTAAATGAGGAGTGAAGAGGAGGAGAGATTAGGTCTAGAAATTGGGATAGTGTGCGAATGGCCGACCGTGGGAGCTCGGAGCTGGAGAGTGAACGACGGCAATGCTATGGCTTGTGAGGTCTGACCGTGTGAGTCGGAACTGGAGATTGTGAATGACGCTGGTGAGACTTGGAGAATGGAGAACAAAGTCGAGACTGGAGATGGAGAGCTCGACTGCTCGGGTGGCGGCTAGAATAAGCCAAGGAGTTAAAAGATAGATAAGGAAAACCTAACAGACTAGGGCAGAGTAAATGCATTGAGGTTTTTTTTTGGCGAACTTTGGGTTTAAAATCATAAATCTTGCACGACGCTTAACAAAAACAAGCGGCGAGGCAGCGGCAAGGTGACCACCATCTCACCTCCAGGTCGCGGGTTCTCAAGGCCTCTTTTTGACAAATCTAAACATAAATACAAAATATTACAGAGGCATAACAGGCTCAGGCCTATAGGTTTTTTATAAGGCCTGAGCCTGGCCTATTAAGCGAAATAGGCTCTTAAAGAAGTCTGAGCCTATGCCTATATTTTAACAGGCCTGGCCTGATCAGGCCAAAAACAGGCCAGGCCAGAAGCCCCTGACAGGCTGCTTGGCCTATTTTTACCCTTAAGTATAATATAACTCTGTCAATTTATCCAAAACTCTTGGCCTGACCAATGAAGAATTTGATTTATCCAAAACCCTTAGCGTGACCAATTAATATTATGGACTGGAGTCATGTGACTCTCCTTAGACAATTATCTTTGCTTGCACAGACGTACCTCAGGAATACATCCTTCTCTAACAAATCAAAGAGTGGAACTATAAGAGGCACTGGTAAAAAAAATTATACTACCTCATGTTCTTAATATAAGACATATTTAATTAATTTAAATATATTAAAGAAGTTACTAAATTACTTTAAAGTATTTTTGACTTATTGTTTTATCCAAATTAATTTGCCTAAAAGAGATTATGTTACATATGCAGTAATTAAGTAATTTAGTAACTTTCTTAATCTTTTCAACTTGATCAGCTGAGTCTTATATTAATGATTAGAGGTGGTGTCTAACCCAGAGAGAGCAAGAGAGAAGAGAAGAGGTGTTGGACGACTAATTAGGTTATTAATGGTTTTCTGAAGCAACTGAAAGCAACTTCACTATAATAATTCTGATGTCATGAGTGGATATAGGGATAGTTTCAGATATGACTTAGAGGATATTTAGGTTAAAACTAAAATGATTTTAGAGATAATTTTACAGTATTCGAAGAAAGTATGTAAGAAAACTTTATCTCGGCTTACATAAAAACTTTTTTTTAAGTGCTTTTAGGAATTCTTAAAAGTCTCGTTGCATTTTCGAAGTTAGGAAAATGGCCTTGTTATTTCGGGCAAAAAAAACCAAGAGTCCTTAGAAAGCACTACTTCCTTATATGATTGCCATACGATAAAAATTATAATGATGTGATGAATACATAAGAAAGGACATTGGTAAATTAAAAAATTAACTAAAATAATTAAAGAATGATGAATGAATTACATTTTTTTTCCTTTTCCCCCCTCATGCTCATTGTAAATTAAAAAAAAAAAAGTTTCAAAGAGGCTTAAGGTCAAGTCAAGATCAGTTAAATAATATTGAGATGGTGGTGTTTTCTTAAAGAATTATAAATGAATTAGTCTTTCCAAAACAGCAGCGCGTAAAGTAAATAAAGCCAAGATTAGATCTAATCTGACTACCGAACACGTCATGCAAGAACCTTCTAATAAACTTTTTTTTAATTAAATATTAATTATTATCAATAAAAATTACAGCCAAGGGCCCCTTTATAGTAGTAATGACGAGTTAACGGTAAAAATTTCTTTTTAATTTTAAGAAGTTTGTGTTATGATCATGCTAGAATAACTTTTCAGATCTCTCTGTAAGTAAAATAAGTCCAATTGTAATTTCAAATTTTTTTGAGTCGCTTTCTTATGCGATAAATTGTTTTAAAACATTTTGGCTAAATATATCAAAGGGCTAGAAAGCAACGTGAAACAACTTGAAGCTTTCGTGGCATGCGGCTGAAGCAGAAACAGGACAAGAACCTCACCTATGTCAAAAGAAAGAAACATCAGCGATAATACCCAAACATGGACTAATAGTTCCCGTTCTTAAAAAAAAAATTGGTTAAATAATTTGAATATATTAAAAAAATTAGTTAAGTCAGTTGTTTATAATAAATTAAATATGTGTTATTTTTTTTAAAATACTCTTGTTAATTATGTGCATTGTTTAAAATTACCATGTAATGAAAGCAACTACTATAAGGACTACTTTAAGAAAAATAAATATATATAAAAGATCAAGTATATTGGAATTTTATATCTAAGACCAAATTAAAAGTCAAACTAGCTCTTATATTAAGGAACAGAGATGATATTTTTATTGTGAGAATTTTTTTGTATAATTTTGATTCACTTGTAACTCAATATTTAAATTTTGACTCAGCGTAATTTAATATTTATAGTTCTGATTCAATTGAAACTGCTCATTGCAGTGTCATATAGTTTTAACTGATCCCTAAATTTTATAAAATATATAATTTTGTTATCTAAAATGTAAAGACTAATATCTTAAATAGTTAAAACTAGAAAGATCAAGTCGCACCCAGTCAAAATTCAAAAAACGAGTTAACGATCAAGTTAAAATTCAAAATATAAGGATAAAAACAGTTAATATCCTATTGTTGTTGTTATTAGTATTAAGGAAGGTATGACCGTTGAGAGGCAGCTGCGTAAGGACGCAATTCGTGTTGAATTTATCGTACATGTGATTGGGAAGTCTTAAATATTATACTCACCACTGATAATGACTCTGCAAGTGCAAATCCCAATTTGTTCCACATCTAATATTTTGTAAATTCTTTGAAGATTTTAACATTATTCAATTAAGGGAGATATTTGTTAGTTAATAATTTATTCAAAAATTTAGCTAATCATAAAATATAATGGTACTTACTGAATTAAGATTGGTTATCGTCGTTTTTTTTTGTGGAAAATTTTACAGTGTTTTATATAGTTTATTAAGAACAAAAATCAGTTGAGAGATTTATAGTTTATTTTCGTGTAATAACACTTAGATTTAAATTAATTGATATAATATATTGAATATTAAATAATTAATTCATCCCGTTGTCAAATTAATGTTGTAGAACTAATTAATTCTACCAAAATTTTGCACTACTAATTCTTTTTCAAAAAATTACAAATCACATTATTAATTTCTTTGTCATACTGTTGAAAAGCCTTATGGCAGTGTAAAAACAAAACCAAAAAAAAAAAGCTTGAGAGAAAGTACACATAAAAAACTACAATTTTATTCTTACAGGAAGCCACATGGCATTTAGTCCGAATTTCAGACGCGTTAATTTTTTTTTTAAAAATAAATAAATTCCCTTTCAAATTCACAAAGGAAGCTTCATATATAATTATGTAGTACGCCATTTCAACCATAATTATTTACGCAGAATCACACAAAGCCTTTGACCTGCTCAATGCATTCAGACTTCAGACGTTTCTTCCCAATAAGCCCAACTACTCCATTTCTTTATGCTTATAAGTAAACACAATCACCAGAAGAAGAAGAAGTTCATAGCTAGCTTCATCTCTCATCTTTTCCATCTTTCTTCAACCTTCCGCCATGGCAGATCATAACAACCAGCAGAAGCGAATCCACCCACTTGCCGACGTTGAGGCACCACGATCACCTTCACCTACCCACCCTTTATTCCCCAGAAACACCTCCAAGTCCGACAACCCCAACGACGACCACCACCGCTCTCCGTCGCAACCGATTCCCAGACGAACCTTCCCGGTGAGCCACTCAAAGCCACCAAAGAGAAAAAGAAGCTGCCTCTGCAGGCTTTTATGTTGGACCTTTTCTCTCCTCTTAATCCTCATAATCGCTGTCGGAATCACCGTCGGAGTCATCTACCTCATCTTCAGACCAAAGATGCCGAAATTCTCCGTTGACCAGTTACAGGTCGTCCAGTTCAACCTCTCCGGCAGCAACAGCCTCTCCGCCACGTTCGACGCTCGAATCACCGCCACGAACCCGAACAAGAGGATCGGAATATACTACGAAGGAGGCAGCAACATCGAGGCATGGTACGAGGAAACCAACCTGGCACGAGGATCGTTTCCGAAGTTCTACCAGGGACATCGGAATACGACGGCGCTCACTGTCATCATGACGGGGCAGACGGAGGATGCTTCTGGGTTGTTCAACAGGTTGCAGCAGCAGCAACAAGAGACAGGAAATATTCCTCTGAACTTGAAGGTGAAGCAACCTGTGAGAGTGAAGCTTGGGAAGTTGAAGCTGTTTAAGGTTAAGTTCAGAGTGAGGTGTAGGTTAGTGGTGGATAGTCTCACGGCTCAAAATGGTATTAGGATTCAGAATAGCAGCTGCAAGTTTCGTGGGATTAGGTTATGAATGAATATTATTTGATTCATTCCATTGATCATCATATACATTCATATATGTAGTTTTTTTTTTTTTTTATATGTTCATTTATATCAAGGTATCCTATAGGAGGCATGGTCGGATGCTTGTGAGAGGGTAGCCCATTACTTGATAGGTTTCTTATATGTAGTTATCGATTATTGTTGTAGATTATTATTTTTTTTGTGTAGTGAATATTGATTTTTTCCAAAATAAAAATGGAGACACAGATGTCGTTGTTTTACTCCATTAATGATGTCCTTAGGATTGTGTGGTTATGTTGTTCTTCAATATACATATACTTTACCGGGTCTTTGTTGTTCATTATTAGTCACGGCGACTATAATACAATTTGAACTATTCAAAATTTGATATGGTTGAATGGTTCGAATTTAAGATTTTTAATATACAATTTTGAAATGATGAATTTAAAGAAATGTTATTAAATAAAAACTTAATTAAAATATATAAAAAAATTAAATTTAATCTGGACCATTCAAAATCAGTCTAAAAAGTCCATATTAAGATGAGTACTTAAACTCATTCTTGTGATGAATATGCTCCCAATTGGTATTACGAAACATTATTTTTATATTCATTTGTTACTCATTCTGACATTCTTCAGACTTTACTCCTAGAATTTAGTTGGATTTTTCCAAAAAAAAAATGAATTGATTTAATGTAATGAAAATTAGTCAATGAGGCTTTAGTTTTAATAGTTTCATCTTATTTTTAATTAAATTTATTCCTGTAATCATTATGATACGCCTGAAATCATTGCCAAGTGATGGACTTTGTATTCGTATATTTATGCCTAAGTGTTTTCCCCAATAAAATTTGTCGCATTTTGGTGTCAAGAAATTACCCAACATGAATAGTTCAAATTGTGATTAAAAATAATCCAAGCTTCAATGTGGAGGTTGAAGGGGTGTCATGGCTTGGAAATTGAATAGCACCACAGCAGAAGATGAAATGGAAAAACCCAACTCTAATACTCCTCCGGTCTTTAATGTATGATCTAATTAAAAAATTAATATTAATATTATATGTAAGATCTATTTTATACATTTATGTTTTTTTTTTAAATTAACCCTGTTGATATTCATGTAATAATAATCAAGCATGATAGTGAGGAAGAGTATTAAGAAAGATGTTTAGGGTACTTTAGAAAAAAATATATCATATTAACTAATTTAACTAATATTTTTAATTTACTCAAATTAATTAATTGGATATTATCTTAAGGACCAGGGAAATACCAATGAATGTGAAATAAGAAAGTAAAAAAAGAAAGATAAGAAAAAGGAAGGAAAGAGATAGAAAGACCTTTTAGATCAGCGGTTGAAAAAGTTACTTATTGAAAAAGTAATTTATAGAAAAGTAAAGTTGGATAAAAACTAAATGAGATAAGCTGATGGCATGTTTAGGATGTTGTTTGGACCCCCAAACATGCATCCCAACAGGAAAAATTACAGATGGGGGCAAAAAATATGTTTGGGTCCACGATTTTTGAATCTGACTTTTGGGATGCCAGTGGACTTCTACAAGAAGCTATTCAAAACTGCTTTTATTTTTCAGTTTACAGGGCATTTGACAATATCATTGGAATTTGCTACCTAAAATTTTCCCTCACCTGGGATAAGACAAAACGAGACATAAAAAATATAACAAAGGCCTCCCCAGTGTCTCCTTTATTTTTAATAATACTCTTTTTAGTTTAAAATATAAGCTAAATTTTCTTTGAAGTCACTTGATTTTTTTTTTTATAAGATAACATTCACTTTTATCTAAGTATTTAATGAATTCAATTTTACTTTCATATATTCTCTTTCTTCTTTAATTCATTTATTGCATCTTTTATTTATTCTCTTCATTAATAAGGGTATATTTGAAAAAACAAATATATGCCTTACATATTTATTAGTTTAAATTGATTTAAACTAGTTTCTTGATAAACATAAATAGATAAAGTTTAACTTATATTTTGAACCAAAGGAAGTATTATTTTCCTTACTTCTTTTAAAATGGTCACATTATTAGATATCTACTGCTTAATAAAATTCATAATCTTTTAAGTCATTTTACATCCAAACTTACTTTTCTATTTATCATCCAAACAAGTTTCAACCTCTCAAACTGACTTTTTAACAAAATCCAATCCAAACATAAACCACACTATACTATTTGGCTTTTACCCAATCTAACTTCTATAAAAATTAGATTGAAAAAAAGTTACTTCTACCACCGCTAATACAAACACACCCTGAATTGTATTTGGATTGGAGTTCAGAAAAGCTAATTTGTAAAAGTAAGATTGGTAAAAGGTTGTTTGGATTATAGTTGAGTAAAAATAAGTTTGGTTGTAAAAATGACCAAAATAGGTATGAGTTTTAATAAATAATGAAACATGATTAAAAAAATAATTTCACATAATACAATGAAATTAAAATAATTTAATATGAAGAAGTCAAATTTAATTAGTGAATTGTTATGAATATTATGTGGATGTCTATTTACCCCTTCCTCTTTATCTTCTCCAAGTAACTTCCACTTCCTCCATTATCCATTACTTCTACACTATCTATTACTCCTCCACTATCCATTCACTCTTGTAACTCACCTCCATTCATATTCATGGGATTGATTATCCATTATTTGTCATTTAAGGATAATTGTAACCTACGTATAAGACTATGCCTATAAATAAGTCATGTTATTTGTGTTGTAGTGCAAGTGAAGAAATACAAAAGTTTTCTCATTCACTTGTCTTCATCTTTCTCTATTATACTTTTATGGTTTTATTTTGGATCTATTTCATAACATGTTATCAGCACGACACTCTACCATCAGAGTTCATGGCTCCTAGTTGATACACGTTTTTTGTTTGTTGAATGAAGATAGTTTGATCTGAACAGTTTGGTAAGATTTCTCCAATTTATTTAGAGGAAATAGTGGTTTTGTATATTAATCTTATTGATTCATTGGTAGCCGAATATTTTATTTATCGTATTAAGATATGAAAATTTTTGTTTTTATTTATTATATTTTCATGATTCTACTATCATTAGACTCATTGATTTGCTATGGGGTTTATTTTCATCATATCATCTCTGATATTAATTAATTGTTATCTTAGAAAGTAAAATGTTAAACATATAAATGAATGGCTAATAGCCATTATATTCTTGATTTTGTGATTAGATGGCCAGAAGCCACATTATGTTTTGATGATTATTTGATAAAAGACCATCTTGTGGTAGTAGCAGATGACATGACAAGACTGTCACAATTTGATAATGTATATCAAAGTCCTGAAGATTGATGGTTAAAAACTCACGATACAAAAGAACTTCGTAGTTCTGAAAATTTTGTTATAGTCCGGAAGACTAATATTTGAGAAAATGGATGGTGTGCTATTGAAAGCAAAGAATATATCTATAAGAGTGATAAAGAGTATAATCACATTGTATCAGTGGAACTGATAACTAAAAGGACAATAATCTTGGGGCTTGACTATTGAATCATAATAGCAGAATTAGTAATGGCCCTATGATCAATATGATAAAATTATGAATAACTGTTATAATATGACCAGAAGTCATATAAACAAATATGTATCAATTTATTGAAAAACAAATGTTAAGAAAAAATGGTTGTGGAATCAAAAAGACCATGTGATATTATGAAAATATCGAAGCTAATTCTAATGTCTGAAAACAATAAGTTGTGAAAAAAGATAGATGCCCAAAGTATATATAAAAATAGAAAACATATAAGTATATGCCTAGAAGGCTATGTGCATAATGTTTAATTTTTATCAGTCTTTAAATTTATTGTGATTTGTGAGAAACAAATGTTGTAAGAATTTGATATTGTAATATTAATAAGTGTGTGATATAAAACTAAATAGATCAAATAGACTCAATAGTTACTAGTTATATTTTTTTTATTTATATCTTATTTATATGATCTAATTTAATATTAGTTTTGAACATTTTAAATGTCTATAGTACCTTAATCAATATTGAGAAGTTTTGAATGTTAAGTACTATTTGTACTTTATTTTTTATTTTTAAAAGTTCATTTTTAAATGTTCTTTATCATTTTTGTGTGTTCTCTATGTATATTGCAAGTTAAATCTGTTATACTCATAATTATTTGTTATTATATTAATGATATATTGAAATAAAATTGTCTTTCATATTCGTCTTAAATTATATTGTTCTTGAAAAACTAGATGTAATAGTATTAATATAGTTCCAGAAGAACTAATATTGATTTTTCTTTATGAGCAGACAAAGTATTGATAGTGAAAAATATGACCCATAGACCTACGTCACAACTTTGGTTCTCCAAAAAGTGTAAATGTTATAGTATAATTGGATTAAAGTCCGAAACTATATATGAACTAGGAAGTACTTGGGCTTCCAAACAAAAGATAGGTTATTGGCTTTAACCTATTATATGCTAGCAGCTATTTATGAAATATATGAATAAAGGAATCATGTTTGAATGACTCAATCTTGAGGGGAAAAACAGTTGGAATACAAGTATGAGTTGATACTGGATATATTTTTCATATCAATTTCATAAATGGATATCATCAATCATATATTATATTAAAAAATTTATTATTGGTAATGAAACATGGTACAGTAAACCAAAAGTTTACTGATATAATTAGATTTATTGTTGGCATGACTTGTTTGATTATCTTAAACTATATAATTATTGAAGATTATGTATTGATATCCATTGAAGAACCAGAAGATTCTTCTGAATAGCCAACATTTTTAAGAATCCGTATGTGCTGCTTGTTCTCAAAGAAAATTGATTATAAAATATCACTAGTTATGTTTTGTTTTCGAATGGATCACTACATTTCTGAAAATATATATGGGCCCATTTAGAAGTACATAAGCCATACAAGTATTCAATATTTGTTAGATACATCTATATAAAATGGTAAGAAGTGTGATTGACATTAATTTGCAACCTGAAGTTTGTAAGATTATTTAGATAAATATTTCTGGACTAAGTGATTCCCAAAACTTGATTTTAAAGATGTTAGTGAATTTATATATCAGGCTTCTAATATTGAAAAGCCTGCTTAACAAATTGATCTAGCAAAATCATTTGTTAATGCCTCAATGAGTAGCTTGATCAATATTTATAAGAACAAATTTTTTTATTTTAGTGTTGTCATATTTGATTTAATATATTGCAGCACTTATAGACATCAAGGCAACAAAATTCTCCCAATAAAATTGGCTTTGGTTCAGGAGCCAGATATTTTTTATCTAAAAAA